GAGAGAAAAGAAGGTGAAAGGAAAGAAGAAAGAAAAAGAGAAGGGAGAGAAGGATGAAATGGAAGGTACAGAAGGATTCTTTGTAATATAAGCAACTTTGTACTAAGCACAGTTAAGTCCATAAACTGTTTGCAGTGTTTTCTTGGAAAAGTCGTTGGGTGAAAATGAGATGTAAAATTTAATAAATAATCAATTTGAAGAATTAATTGAAGAGGAACTTATCCTAAGACAATGCAGCAACAAGCATAAGGTAAAATTTCTGTTGGATGTGTCCAGTGAAAATGTTAGCACGTCCCTCCCTTAACAGTTCTGTCAAAGCATTTCACAAGTCCCCAGTGACAGAAAAAGAACAAATATAGATAGAAAACCACAACAGAAGAAACACTACAAAGATCCACACATTTATACTGAAAGGAAGCTGAGCTCTGGTCCCTGCTATATTTATTACGTCTGCATTTAATCCCCATGTTCAATACATACATAGATGAAGCTAGGGCTAGATACATGTCCCAACATGCACAGAATTTGTTTCATTATTCACTTGTTCAATTTTCTGGCTATACAAACTTCAAATCCTGGCAACATACTAGTCCAGGTTCATCAGAAAGGCTGCTCCCAATCAGAATTGTGTATAGCCTTATACATAGGACACTTATACATAGGATCAAACCCCTTCTTATGATGGCAAAGCAGGAAATTTGGTCATCTACCTCTCAAGCAAGTGCTGTAGTTCCAATGGAAATGCAGTTGTTCATTCACTTAGAGTACAATAAGACACCCAAATGCATAACTTCATGTACGTGTGAGGAGACAGTACTCTCTTAATTCTGCAGCTAGACTGAGGTCCATGAAGAACATCAAATCACAGCATCACAGAATGTTAGAAGTTGCAATGGACCTGTGGAGATCACCTAGTCCACCCCCACTACTAAAGCAGGTTTTCAATATCTCCAGAGAAGGAGACTCCACAACTTCTCTGGGCAGCCTGTTTCAGTGCTCTGTAACTCTCAAAGTAAAGTCTTTCCTCATGTTCAGATGGAACTTCATATGTTCCAGTTTGTGCCCATTTCCCCTCTTTTCCACTGGGCACCACTGAAAAGAATTTGACCCCATCTGTTTGACATTTGCCCTTTAGATATTGAGAAGTATTGATAAGATCCCCTCTCAGTCTTCTGTAGGCTAAACAGCCTCAAGACTCTCAGCCTTTCCGTGTAAGAGAGATGATCCAGTCACCTCATCATCTTTATAGTTTGATTGGCTCCACTGTACAAGGCCCAGAGCATCCTGATCTAGTACAGTCTGCTTTGAGTAGAGTTGAGCTAGATGACTTTTAGAGGTCCCTTACCAACAAAGTAGATTCTACAATTCTATGATTGCCAAGGCTTCCACATCAGGTCAGAAATTTGTCCATATCCATAATATCCATGCAAAAGTTATCTCTCTGTACAAAATTAATTCACTATATTGGAAGAATTGTTATACTTCCCACATTTCATAGGAACATTGATTCAGTCCATATACAATATGTCTGAAGAACGCATGAAGTAGTGGACTTTGTGAACAGCCAGTCCATGCGTAGAAGTGTGACATCTTCAGTTTATCAATCTGTTTTTATATATATGAACTGCACTTACATCCTAAAACAATGGCAAGATTTTTAGGAAAGAAGACGTAACTGGCAAAAGTAAAGAAATGTATGACAGCTCCAGCTAGCTTATTTCATCAGCATTACTAAATGCCCTGCATTTTCCTCAATAAGCCATGAAACTTCAGTTCAGGAATGGTTTATTACCAGATGCTGATGACATTTTTATCTCCTTTATGGAATTTTCACCTTACAAAGTTGTCCAAAGAAAAAAGATGTGTAATGTCCAAAAATAGTTCCTTTCTAAATATCATTTCATCATTGTTTTTTAATAATTTTAAATATTGGTGTTTAAGTTTTCTGAAGGGAAGAGTGAAGAAACTTAATGGTCTTTGGTAGTACCTAGTGCTTCAACAATGCTACCTTACCATGGTAAGCACCAAGGCCCAAACTGTCTGAAGAAACATGGAATACAGCACTCACCTCAGAAGGCTTGATCCAAAGGCAGTTGGAGAATTTCCATTTAAGTGTTTGGGTTTTGGATCAGGGCAAAATCTGTGCAGATTAGAGATATACAGTATATGCCAAAGATTGGAGCTATTTCCACTGTAGAACATCAGGGACTAAAGCTTGATGTTTCTGTGATCCTTTCTCTTTTCAAGTTTGCATCAATATCCTCTGCCTATCTTTGTCATGTTGATTTGCAAAATCATAGAATCATAGAATCATAGGGGTTGGAAGGGACCTCGAAAGATCATCTCGTCCAACCCCCCTGCCAGAGCAGGGTCACCTAGAGTACATCACACAGGAAGGCGTCCAGGCGGGTTTTGAATGACTCCAGTGAAGGAGACTCCACAACCTCTCTGGGCAGCCTGTTCCAGTGCTCCGCCACCCTCACAGTGAAAAAATTTTTTCTGATATTCATCTTGAACCTCCTATGCTCCAATTTGCACCCATTACCTCTTGTCCTCTCATAGGTCATCACTGAAAAAAGCTTAATCCCATCTTCCTGACACTCACCCTTTACATATTTGTAAACATTGATGAGGTCACCCCTCAGTCTCCTTTTCTCCAGGCTAAAGAGACCCAGCTCCCTCAGCCTTTCCTCATAAGGGAGATGCTCCACTCCCCTAATCATCTTTGTAGCCCTACGCTGGACTCTCTCCAGCAGCTCCCTGTCCTTCTTGAACTGAGGGGCCCAGAACTGGTGAAACCTGCAGTGCAGTCACTAGTCTTCAGGATGGTTCCATCTCCAAAGTCATAATTTCACTTCCAAGAGATGAACTCAGAGGAGAGTGGGACTTAGCCAAAAGTAATTGGGAAACACAAAGGATGGAATGAAATGAGATAATACAATTTAAAACAGATTAGTCTGGAAGATAAACTGTGTTCCAAGGTCAAAGCCCACAGTTTCACAGAAAAAGCTGAAATAAGAATTTTATGTTGGTGTACTCCATGTGAATACTGACTTACTCCAATGAGCTGAAAGTATGGGATTCCTTAATGATTGAACTAGTATGTGACATTTTGTGGCATCTGATGTGAAAAAAAAGTGCTGTCCCTTGACGAGGTAATACAGTAATATAAACCTGTCACAGTGGAGTGGTGCACCCATGCTACCTGCATGCTCCTGGGCTGAGTCATAACTTCTGTAAGCTGTTTATGCCCAGGCAAAGTCATATTAATATAATTAGCCCCAGTTTCAGCCCGAGTAAACCACCTGAAGGCAGTGAGGAGACACAAGCAATACAGTTGAGAAATCCCTATATTCTGGGCAATCCAGAGCTCTATTTATCTGCACTGCTAAAGGGAACAAATAATTTTTACATAATAGTCAAAATATCTTCATGTTTGAATGCAGAAAAGGAAACAAGTGCTATAGGCAAAAGTATGATGCTTCTGTACAGTTTCTGGCAGAACCATACTACAAAGTGAAACCATTGTTACAAGATATGTCACAAGACATACTGAGGCAGCTCAATATGCCTCAACAAAAACATACGTTGCTTTTTGGAAGTAAAAACTAATAAACTCCTATTGGTTGTTTTATTGTGTCCGTGACTGATATAAGCCAAGGACAAGAACCGAAATGGAAAAATTGAATGAATCCACAAAAGAAATCTCTGCAAGAAATCTCTCTGAAATGGCTGCCTTTGTTAATGTCATCAGGCAAAATTCTAATTATAATGAAGACAACTCCTTTATTGGAAAGAAGTATGCCCCATCAGTGCTTCCCATTTGGTTGAACTGATGTTAGGAGTTACACGATCATCGTGCATCCTGGGAAATGTAACCCAGCTATGAAGTCCAAGAGTGAAAGTGTATGAAGAAATAAGAGACTTTAAAGATAATGATCATGATGCATGGCAACATGGTAAGATTTCAAGGGAAAAGAAATTACTGCTTAGCTATGTCAAAATTTGATTTTTCATTCAACAAGAGGAAATATTTTGCTTTGGGAATGTCAAAACATTTCTATTTGATCAGATATATGAAAATTAAATTTACTGAACAAAAGGTTCTTAGCTATTTCCATAGTCAATTTTAACTGCACTTAGATTTCATAAATATGAGAAAGAATTCAAACTACTAGAATTTCTCATGACATAAACATAGTCTTTTTTTTACCAGTATACATATTCATTAAAAGTTTTTTTGTTTGTTTGTATTTTATTCAGATTTATCTTCTTCGTAAGTTTATCTTCTTTGTTCATAGAAATTTTATCATCTTAATTCCATACTTTTGCTACTGTTAACAAACAAAACAAACAGAATCTAAGAATAAGAAAACAAATAACTAAACAGAGCTTACTTTCAACATGAACATGACCTGATTTTCCAGAATACTGCAAGTAAATGTCAAATTATTTTAGAAAGGTATGTGACAAATTTTGGTACAAAAAAGAAAAGAAAAATCTTCATCTTTAACTCCCTTGCCTGTGAAGGGAAGATGTCCAAACTGCACAATACTCTCATTTTGTCAAGTTCTCATACCCTTAAGCCTCCTAACATCTCTACTGAATGCATGCTGCAGTGCTTATTACTTCCAGCTATAATTTATGCATTATAATCTTTCCTATGTAGACATGGGAAATTTATTTGCATACATTGTTAGAGTGTGTAGTTGAGGGATTTTGCTTTTAGAACTCCTTTAAAGGGAAAAACCCAATGAACTGGAAGAGTGACCTATCTCCAGGATATGCTCAGTGTTCTGCCTTCGGGGACTCCCAGCAGCCAAAGTAGAGCATTGTCTGGAGTGCAGTGAGGATCTGGGACTCTCACCTTTGGACCTTTGGCAATTTGCTCTGAGCTTCCTAAACCGTTTGCCTCAGCTGGTTGCTACAGACTATATAAATGGAGGTCCAAGTCAGAAGGCTCACTCTCCCTCTGAGGTGGTAGGGAAGAGGTAAAGAGGGGAGAGGAAAAGGAAGAGAAGCAAGACTGTTCAGGGCTCACCATGGGCCCTGTACAGCTCTTGCTGCTCTTCTTGCTGCTCAGCAGTGGTGCTCTCACACGTAAGTACTGCATTTTGTGTTAGTGCTTTCTACTGCTTTATTTATGAATCTGTTAAAACAGCAATAATGCAAAAATCAACAGGACAATGGATTATAGATGTAGAGGGGGTAAATGTGGCAAAGATATTATCTCTTCCCTTTGTAGGACTGGGCAATCCTAGGAGGATCCCAACATAGAAAAAGTCACAGATGTTGCCTGGTGTCTTTTGATCAGATCTAATGTATTTTTGTCACTTGTGAAGAATTCACATAATTTATTTTGGCCTAATTGTTTTTCTATAATGCTGTTCTTTTAAACCCCCATGGAGATACTGTGGCTTGGAGATGCCATGCAGACTTATCCCAGCTGTTGCTAACCTATTTTGCAGCAAATGTGAAGGCAGAGAGCAATAAAGCAAAATATATTTGGCAGGCAATACTGACATCTGAAATACAATTTTGAGTTAAAGGGACATAGTCATCAGCAGTAGTACGAGAAGTAGGACAGGAGACATCTTCTTCCCAAGATCAGAAAAGACAGCCTGGATCAGTGTGGTGCTGTGGATTGTGAGCTATCCTTGCTTCCCAAGAATTGGCGTTTTAGAATACAACACTGTAGTGTTAATTAACGTGTCAGGAAACTTAAGGAGGAAAGTGAGTCTGGGGCCAATTATGCAGGTCTGGTTTTATATGGAGATTGAATTCACCATAAATGCACCTTTGTTGAACTAAAATTCTGTTGTTGATTGATGTTATACAATTTTAAAGGATGCACTTTTTTTTCCTAACAGTTATTATTTATAATACTGTTACTATTGTAATAGCAATGTTAATATTACTGTTGCTGTTACTGTAACTAGTGTTACACTATTTCCATCAAGTGGTCAACCTTAGAATTCCCGTAGTGAAATCCTGACAAGTGTGCAGAGAATATTGTGAAAAGTGCTGGCATTCATATGTGATATCCCAAAGAATGAAAGAGCATCGAATGCAGCAAATTTTCTTGATTTAATTTGATTTGTTTTGATTTGATTTTATGTCATATGGGACATACCTAAGGCATATTGGAGCAAATGATTCTTTTTAACTTGAATAGTCTTCCAACTGGTGTTCTTTTCTTCCAAAGAATGAACTCTAGATATTTAGAAAAGATTTAATAGCAGAGAATTGTATTAATCATCAAAGTTGTCCCTTTCTACATGGTCAAAAAGTGAAAGATAGCCATTCATCTATTAGTAGTATTTTTGTGTGCTCAGACTAAAATTTTATAGTAAACCATGTTATAAAGTACATTGCATCTGTCTACCTCTACATTTTGTACCCATCATTTATAAACTTCTTACTTCACGTAACATAGGGCTTTTAAAAAAACTTTTTAACCTAGAAACTGATCCTTCTCTGTTTAAATCAAAATAATTTAATTCAATGATTTAAAGATACTATTCTGAGGTCTTAGTTCACAATAGCAAGGCAACTACTGTAGCTGCCTTTAGATTTGACTCTGTACAGTCAATGTTAATAATAACTTTGTTATTTGCATCTCTGTGCCAATCTACATCAAAAGCTGGTATGAATTAAAAAGGTCTTACAATGAAAATGTAGTAGTTCCATTTATATTTCCATGGCCCTTTTTTTATAGCTGCTTTTCCAGCTTTTAACTGCTGCTTTCATTCTTTACAGAAGAAGAAGCTCCTGAAAGTGGAAATCCAGGATGTTCAAGTAAATGATTTCTTTTGTCTGCTTTTGTTATCTTATGTTGCTATATTAACTTTCAAAGCTTGCTTTTCCTATTCTGTAAATCTCTTCCTCTGAAATAACTGAAACAAAAGTGATGGCAATATGCTGAAGTCTTTATTGCCATTTGTTTTAGGGCTTTAATTATCCATGAGGCTTGACTGGAAGAATTTGAAACATTTCCTAAGATCGAAGAAGCTGAAATTGAGTTTCTAAACTTTTAAAAATCTCCCATTAAGAAACTGCTTTCAATTGCTTTGTTGATTCCTTAATTGTCAGGTGCTAATTCTTTAATCTAGAAATCCCTGTTTATCAGATGTGAAGCTTTAGCACTGAGCTTATATACACTACACTTTACCATGGGCAGAAGCTCTCTTCTCATTTACCCTTCACAGTGGCTGCTGAAACCAAAGAATTGCACTTGATTATCTATCGAAATACCTGTAGAATAAATCATCAACTCTGTCAGCAAGGACAGCGATTTCTTTAAACAAGTCAAGACTCAGGAAATGCTGACTTCATGCCCTATCTTTAGGATGAACTCTGACTGGCCCTGACTGCTTGGTTAGATACATAATGTTCCACCATAGGGTCAAAGTACCGAGTGAGCTGTTTTTGTCTTTGTCTTTTTCACGTTGGATGCTTTAGCACCATCTCCAGGCAGTTCTGATTATTTCAGCTGCCTGCACCAACATAAAGACTTCTGGGCTTCATTGCCAATTTCTTGAGTATTTTTGGTACAATAATTATTTCGTATTTGCAATTATAATCTTATAATTTCCCTATTCCTTTTTTTTTTTTTTAGTTTTTTTTTCCTGTTTTAAAGCAGGAATTGAAGTAACAATTATCCTTTTGTCTTTAGCATAATACATCCTGGTGTTGCAAAAATTTCTGAGAATTTAGTTAAGCATTGTTATAGCCAAAAGTGACAAGGATAGTGTTGGATTTTTTTTTTATAGTAGTTAATCTTAAGGTTAATTAGATAATTTAATACAATTTTCAGATGTTCGTAAGATGTTGTTTACTGTATGATAGCTAACTTTGAAAATATTAATTCCATTTAGCAATTGCATGAAAGTAATCTCAGTTAAAACACTGTTCAAGTATGTGACATATATAGAAGTGATAGTCCAAGGAATAAATGAAAGTTTTACAGTACTATTCTGTTCTCCATTCTAAGTGCACAATTCTGTGACATAAAGGACAAGATAACATTGCCATCAGCCTCTGACATGGCAAATGTTTTATAAAAGATGAACAGTAAGCTGCATTCATGGCAGGTGTAGACAGGCAAAATCATATAGTCTTGATGGTGGTCATGTGGATTTACACTGACATGACTTTTTTTTTTTTCTGTAAAAGTAGATCAGAATTCTAATACTCCAGTAAAATTTGCTGATCTAGTAAGTGAACTAGAGCAGATTGTGCTTTGGGAGAGACTAGGGCAGAAATATACTCTGTAGATTCAGCTGAAATGGTATTGAGGAATGCTAGTTTTGGTGTTCTGTCTCTGTGTTTGTTTGCTTTTTGTCTCAGACACATGACCTAGATAAAGCAGTTGTTTGCATTTGAATAAAGATGGAAAAATCTGAGCTGAGAGGAATCATTTTGTTACCAATTTGAAAACTTCAGTTTGACGGGTTCCATTTAGATTCAATAGGAAAATTTTTAAAACAGTTCCACATCTGAAGTTCTCTCTCATTTTTGTCATTAGCTTTAATGAGGAGTGACTTGGTTGTCTTAAAGGTCTTTCCCAACCTAAATGATTCTATGCTTTGAAGGCCAGATGGGGTTATACTGTCAGATCTCAACAAATAGAGCAGTCAACCCCAAAACTTGTGCCTTCATCACAAATTTTGTCTTATGCTTCAGAAAGTAACCAGCTAACATGAAGGCTTCTTTGTCTGAAAAGTATTAGATAAAAGGAAATAGAGGGAAGGTCTTTATGCTTCCTTCATATCTGGCATTCATTTTGGTTAAACAACACTAAGCATGTATTGTAAGGATCCATATATTAATATCCTATCCAAGTCATAAAAGCACTCTTGTTTTCCTAATTGCAGAAGATGCAACCAGATTTAAACACCTCAGAAAATATGTTTACTTATACGAAGCAGAAACATCAAATGGGATCACGGGAACAGCAGATTCTCGAAGCGGCTCAAAGATCACTTGCAAGGTAGGGAAGGAGAAGTGAATACGATGGATTTGGACTGTATACTGAATAACATGGGAGCTGGCAGATGGGGAGCATCCTTTAATGCTTTTCCAAACAATGTCATTCTTTTGAAAGACACATATTGAAAGTCCTGAAGATGAAATCCTCCCTGTCCTAAAGAAAAGGCACTGAGGATGGCAGGAATCCTTCATGCCACTGTGCCAGTGCACTTCAGACCTGATCTGGCTGTACTTTTACACAAGAGAAGGGGAAGAGCTGATAGATGAGTTTTCCATAGCCACCAGGCCAAGTCTACCAATGTCCATCAAACAATTCTAGAATTGAACTAAAACAGTTCATTGATGCCGGGAAGAGCACTTGGTAGCTTGTTGGTAACAGTCAAGCTAGGATCAGGGCTGTAGGAATAGGAAGTCCAGTAGGTGATTAAACTACTCAATGTCCCTCCATCTTGCCCAAAACTTTCCTATTGTGTATTTTTTTCTCAAATTGAGTTACTGGAGAAAATATTTTATTTAGCACACACTGTTCTGACAGAATCTAAACATTGATCAGTGTAATGAATCAAGTGTTCAAACAGTTCTTCAGGTACTATAAATTTTCATAGAATCATAGAATCATAGGGGTTGGAAGGGACCTCGAAAGATCATCTAGTCCAACCCCCCTGCCAGAGCAGGACCACCTAGAGCACATCACACAGGAAGGCGTCCAGGCGGGTTTTGAATGTCTCCAGTGAAGGAGCTTTATTAGCTCATTTACCACGTATGTAGTGTACTCCATGCCATTAACCAAACAAACATCTGCTTCCATTTCTTCTCCCTCAAGCTACCTTAAACTGTTTGGAGTACTTTGGAATCTTTTCCAACAGCTACTATCAGGGTGATTCTGATGGTTTACAAAACCCAAGGAATACTGTATTTTCAAAACTATAATGAGTTGATCCTGGAAACACAATAATGAAAAGAGGATATACATGTCATATTTGTGTTTTCAGGTTGAACTGGAGGTACCACAGCTATGCCACTTCATCTTGAGGACAATGCATTGCTCCCTGAGGGAAACATTTGGTGTTGACCCTGAGGGAAGGGCCGTACTGAAAAAGTCAAAGAACTCTGAGGACTTTGCAAATGCCATGTCCAGGTAAGCAATAGCCATTGCCATCGGTACTCGTAGCTTTAACACAGGACAGGCTTCAGTGTTACACTACACTCTGTGTTTTTCCAGACATAGAACACATTTCATGATGATGTTGTAGATTCATATGCTTATTCCAGAGCAAAACTCTCCCTGAAATAGTTTAGGGCTGACTTGGCACAGTTCTCAGTTTCTAGTAGAGAATGGGTTTTTTTTTCCATCTAGAATTTTAATCTGCAGTATTTTTGTCATTTATGTCCTCTACAACAGGGAACTATTGGGTATCCTTTTAAAAGATTATTGCAAGTGGAATGTTCCTTCTTGTAAGCAAATTTTCAAACAGCTGTGTACAGCCATTTTAAGATAATGGTCCTTTGCTAATATGGTACAAAGGCTGTGCAATAGAAAGGCATTTGAGACTGAAGTCCAGTTTTCTTATCACTATCTTCAATGACCTATGCAACTTATCCTTTCCTTAGTTATCTGCTTTTGTAACTTACTGCTACTACTCCCTCCACCCAACTAGTCTCCAGTGCTTGTCAGTGCATGTTTTACACCTTCATGGCTGTTTCAGTGCTTCAATATCTACTCCATCTTGTTTCACGGGCCATAGGTCTTCAAAACAACTTGAGATAGTGTAAAATATGCTTTGCAGAAAACAATCAAGGTTTTATTTAAAGACTGCAGCTAGCAGAGAATCCTTACCATCATTTTGTATCCTATTGCAGTAGTTAATAATTACCTCATTCTAAAAATTTACTGATCTCCTCTCTGAATTTATGCAATTCCAACATCCAGACGTTTCTCCTGATATTTACTTGTCCTCAGATGACGTAGTCTGGTGATATCAGAATGTCCTTGGTAGAACTGTGCTATTTTAATAGTAATACTCTCTAATAGTAACAGCTGTGAATACTAACTAGTGATAGACTAAGATAAGCAAGATGCTTTAGCTATAGCCCGATGGTTTATTGATAACATGTACTTCACTGGGTGGCTTTCATGTGACATCATAACAATATTGGGTTTTTTGGGGGGAACAGGTATGAGCTAAAGTTCAGCATTCAGGATGGAACAAAAGTCAAGCTGTACCCAGAGAAGGATGAACCTCTGAATGTACTGAATCTCAAGAGAGGAATCATCTCAGCTCTACTTGTGCCAACAGAAACAGCAGAAAACATAAAAACAATTTCAATGGTAGGTATTTTGAAAGCATTCATTTTATTTTCTTAACAAATGGAAGAAATGTCATCTGGTAGAGTTACTCCTGAGGATAGTTTTCAAAAGACCTGCATGCCTTTCAGCTGAATCAGAAAATGTTCAACAGCATGAACAAAGACACTGATTTCTTTCTTCTTTCCAGGATACTGTATATGGAAAGTGTGACAGTGAAGTTGAATTCAAATCTAGGAAAGGAAATGTTGCAGAAGATATTTCAATTAACAGGGACCTGAAAACCTGTGATAACTTCAGTCCCATCAGAGATTATGTCAGCCCTATTGCCATTGTAAAGGGACTAGTAAGTATACCATTAAAAATTCTATAGCATTCTTCACTTCATAACTTAAAATGATAAACAACTGCTACAAGAACTAAATTTTGTATTTATCTTCTGAAAGCTTAAAAAGGTTTTCTTCACCCTTGCCTTAAATCAGACTGTGGCAGCCAATAGAGAAAAAAAACATGCAGAGAACGAGTGTAATTATCTTCTTTCCTGTTCTTCTCAGTATTTTTTAAAGGACAGCTTTTCATAGATAGAGTTAGTAGTATTGATTACATGATAACCTATCAGATCATATCCAAATTTTTAGTTTTGTGGGTCAAAATTTTCAACAGCCCAATTTCTTTTAAAACATACTGTCTGCCCAAACTGTGATGTGTATATGAGGCTCTAAATGCCCTGAAATAATACATGGTTTCACATGCAGTTTAGGCTACCTGTTAATCCACAATGATCAAATGCAGTTGCTTGCATAAATATTGGCAGATTTCTTTCTGAAATTAAAAAGAACATCAGTTGTTATGAAGGATCTGAACTACTCTAAAAAATTACAACTGGTTTCTATGACTGAGTCCTTTGTTGCATGCAGCAGGGGATCAGTCATGAAGTAACTACTAAGCCAAGCACCTCAATGAGGCCTCAGGGAAAATTTCAGTCTTAAGACCAAAGATTGATACTGGCACAATTTTGTCTTTGTGTGAGAATTATTTCAGTTCTGCATCTCTGTTTCAAATATGCTGTAACTGCTAATATTACTGTAAAACTGTGGAAGCCATTAAAATGATTTTTGTTTCTATATTATTCAGTAAATTGACTGCCAAACTGTTTTACAGAACATCCCATTATCCACCCTTCTGAAGAGTACTCAATACTGTCATTATAACATTGATGCAAAGAAAAGGCACATAAGAGATGCTGTCTGCACTGAAAAACACCTGTTTCTGCCCTCCTCCTACAAGTAGGTTACTCTTTACACTACTTACCATTACCCTTTATTTATAAATATTAATTTTACATGTGATGTATCACATTCAGCCCTGAGTTCACCCCACAATATGCATTTTGTTCTCAAGAAGGCAAGAGGCATTGTAAGACCCCACAATGATACTCAGACTCAACTAATTAATTTTTCTTTGTTTGCTAGAAATCGCTATGGTGTAATGACAGAAGTCAACCAGACACTGAAGCTTGAAGATACTCCAAAGATCAATAACAGAAATTTTGATGGAGGTATAGCTGCAATTCTCAGTAATATAAATACAGTGACAAAATATAAATACAGGGAATTCTCACTTTTAAGCAGTGAATTAATTAAAGGTGCAATTAAGAAGACAAGCAACATTCATCATTTTAAATAAAATTTGATTAATTTAGTCAGGAAAAAGATTTGGATATAAAATGGGAAAATGTGAGAAGTTTAAAAACACTGTAATTTTAAATAATCTTTGTCTTTTCATCCTAATTTTAAAATTATTCTTTATAATTTAAAATGTATAATTTGCTTGGAAAGCAATTTTATTCTTATTGGAAATTAGTTTAATGAACACCTTTCAGTGAACCATAATTTCTCATGCAACTTTTATCTTCAGCTGGCAAACGTAGTCCATGATTACTGTATATTTGGTTCTGTAACAGTTTTTTGTCATACAGTTGTTATTCCCAGTCAATAACATATTTCTGCTAAGATTTATTCATTAAAAATTTAAAAAAAGGAATCTATAATAATATAAAAGGTCTTAAGGAATCATCTTCATTAAAATATAAAATAAATTATGCAAATAGGTATTATTTACCTTTGGGTAGAATTTCATTTAGATTCCTGTCCATTATTTTCAGAAAAAGTTCAGCTGTTAAACTTCAACAGTTATCATATAAAATTATCTCCCAAGTGTATATTTATACTGAATATATGGCAGATGATAAAAATTAACATAGCTACTTGATAAAGACTTAAAGAATGCAACTGTTTTAATTGCTAGATGAACTGGAAGAGAAGGGACTTGCGCTGGAAAGTACAGATGCCAAACTTCCCAGGCAGGGGGATGCTGTTCTGAAAATCCTTCAGGAGCTGCAGAAGCTTACAGTCTCCCAGCAAAACCAGCAGAGAGCAAGACTCTTCTACAGACTTGTTTCTGGACTTAGAAGTTTACATAACAACACCCTTGGGTCTCTTGTACCAAAGATGATGGAAACTTCAAGGTATGTTACAACAGTTCATTGTGCAAGTACACCACATGTCAGTGCCATAGCAAATCCATTCTAAAGCTGATGATTACTCTAAGTGGAGTTAAATTCGAGTTTAGTTAGATGCAAAGACTGTCTGTCAGAAAAAGAAGCATCATCAGAATTATCTAGAGAAAAAAATAAGGAAGAGAAAGTGAAAACTGTGCATTCACATTTTTCCATTAGAAATGCTCAGTTGTTAGTTGGAACTTGAACATTAAATATGGGAGAACAGTACATAGGAATTCAAATAGATCTGAAAGGTCTAGCCTTCTATGAAGAACAAATATTGTATTGATCATTTCCCTATTGCATCTTCCAAACTTATTGGAGAAGCTGAACTATAAATTAGAATATAACACATCCCGGTAGTTTTTCTCCCAGTCACCATCCCAGGAGTGTATGCCAGACACAATTCTATGGATGTGTTATTATAGCCAAATATCTTTTTTGCTCAAGGATAATGACTAATCCAAAATCCCAAGTCTGGCTTACAATAAAGAACGTAGTTTTGAAAGTGAGATTTTTGGAGACATGCAAGGGGACAATTCCGTGGTCTGACTCTGCCCTCCACTCCCCACCCTTACCCTTCTGTCCTAGCTGAACTTGAGTTAATTTACATATACTTTATGTCCTCAGGCTGTAGAGGGACTAGAGCATCCATTTGGTTCAATATACTTTCTTATAATAGAGTTGTCTGTTGTGGAGAAAAAAAAATAAATTGTATAATTATAGTATCATTAAAGCTTTCTTGTTGCTCATAGCTACTATTGTTAGTAGTGTAACTTTTAAACTAAGAAATTTCCTTTTGAAAAGTAATTGTGTGAGCTGCTTTCAGTCATGCATATGCATACATAATTTCTACTAAAACACCTGGATAAACATGTCAAATATTTATTTCAAGCGTACAACAAGGAGTGATAACTGCAAACAGGGAATTAGTCCATCAGAGTTCTCTCTTCTTCTTTCAGTTCCATCACAGTTCAGGCCCTGACTCAGTGTGGGACTCCAGAGTGCTACAGCGCAGTCCTTCAAATACTGAGAACTGGAAGTGTGAACCCTCTTGTGGTAGACCTGGTCACATATACCATGGGACTATTGCCTTCTCCAACTCCAGGAAGAATAAAGGAAATTCTTAACATGGCCCAGTACCAGCCAAGCAGAGCTTCTTTTTATGGCTTGAGTCATTCTGTTACTAAGTAAGTAATGATAGCATGTAATTGTACAAAATAAACTCAAGAAAACATTGCAATGCTTAGAGTAAACCCTAAGAGTAGTCACTTTTTGAGGATTTTTTGTTATTGTGATGAATTTACAGTTTGAGAGTAATAAATATATATTCCCATTTTCACCTTTCGTTTCTAATGTGTTTATTTCTTTAGGTTCTACAATGAGAAGATGACTGTGACAGAAGAAATAGCAGATGTTGCAGACTTCATGGTATCCCTGCTTGGCACCGATTGTTCTGGGGAAGATGAACTCACATACCTCACACTTCGGGTATTTTTATTTCTTTCTTTCCTTATTTAGGCTGTTATTTTAAATTGTAGTAAATATATTACTTTACTTCTTTTTCTGGGAAAAAAGTATTTATGAGCTTTCTGTGTTTTCATCACTTACAGGCTATTGGAAACATGGGTGCAGTAATGGAGAAAGCTAAACCCAACCTGAAATCTTTTCTCAAGACATGTATGAGAAATGAAGCTGCATCACTTTCAGTTCAGAAAGCAGCCATCCAGGCATTCAGGAAAATGACTATTACTGAAGAGGTAAATTGGGTCACAAGAACCAGCACAAAGTGCCTTCAGTTCACCCTGACTGTTCACAGAAGTTACTGAATAGGCAAAACCACTGCCATAGTTTTGCTGCCTCCCTTGTAGCTTTGTCCAGATTTTGTAGCACTCCTTCAGTTAGCTCAACTTTCATACACACATCTGAGAGGTTCTTCAGACTTCTGATTTAGTGAGTTTTGCTCCTTTGAGATGCATTTGTTTTGTACAGGTAGCCTCAGTTTAAGTGGAAGGTTCTTGTTACAGTGTCTTAAATGGAGTTGTGCTTATTTAAAGGTGGTTTTAACTAACAAATTAGTCCAGATTTAAATGAATTTAACTAAGAGAAAAATCAGGTTGCCATTTTATAGTGGCATTTTATTGTCCTTGTTATTAATAGTCCTGGTTAGATTTATATTTATATTACAGTGACATCAAAGCACCTTCTACAGAATGGGTGTTTATCATACAGAGCACTTCAGCTTAGTATAGTGAAATAGTTTCAACACCAACAGGTTTATATTCTAACTTTCTATCATACTTTTGTTTCCAGACAAGGCTTAATGAATCTGGGATCTTGTAAACACCTGTTGCTCATGTGCTCAGATTCAGTTTAATTTAAAGTATTTAATTTTTTTAATGTTCAGTTATTTTCAAACTGATTTTACTTCTCTTGAAGCAGAAGATTTTGATCACCTTCTTTTCCTAAATTGAATTATCTTTTTTCCAAACTTTGAGAATTTGTCTGCAGCCCAGAACACGCCAGTTCCCAGCAATTAAAGTCAGAATTCTAAACAAAAAAGTAACCTACCAGATGTAGGATAAGAAAATCAGTTTTAATAAAACCATCATTTGAATGACATGTTCTATGAAAAGAAGCTTTATCAAAACAGCTTCAGTGAAACATTTTTGATCAGTTATAGAAATCGAGTCTATAAATAGTTATGCAGTCCTTAAAAAGTTACACCCTGGAAATTATTTCACCCTATATATTCCCATAAAAGTTTAGCAATATCCTCTACTACCCAACTCATCAGTGCAAACCTTCTCTGTTTATACAGGACCGTTCAACACTTCTGAAGGCATTCCAGGAAGGGGATGCACCTACAGACAAACGTCTAGCAGCCTATCTCATACTGATGAAAAATCCTTCCTCAAGTGACCTCGCAAAGATTTTGAGAGTCCTCACAAAGGAGAGGAATGAACAAGTGAAAAGCTTTATTGCCTCACACATTGCCAACATCCTAGACTCTGAAGAAGTAGGCATTGAAAAGTAAGTGAAATTTAGTTATCTACTGGTCTTCTAGGAAGAACAAATTCCTGACCATAATTGTGGTGGTGGTTATTTAGAAGTGTATTTTTTGCTTGGTTTTTGTTTGTTTGTTTGTTTGCTTGTTTGTTTTCTTTGTTTGAACAAGCACATCAGCTGAGTAAATCTATGGCTTTGTCAGTGTACTGCCAGCTTACAGTCTTTCCCTTAAGTCTTATTTTTCCTGTTAATATATGCAAAGAGCTAGCCATTTACAATCACCTCAGCTGTATGAATGTCTGCAAGTGCCACAAGAAATCCAACAGCTAAGACTAAATGAGGTTTTGGAATTTATACTAATCATATATGCATTGTTATCCTCTTTCCTAGTCTAAAAAGCCAAGTTGAAGAAGCTCTGAAAGGAAACCAGGTTCCAACAGCCAAAGATTTCAGAAAATTCTCACAAAATTATCAGATTTCCAAAAGAGTTTCTGTTCCTGGAGTTGATCCTATCTCTGCCAAAGTAGAGGGAAATGTGGTATTTGATCCAAACAGCTATGTTCCTAAAGAGACAATGCTAAAAACTACCCTGGATGTGTATGGATTTGGCCCAAGTGACATCTTTGAGGTATGACAATTATAAAAAAAATTTACTAGTATTCACCTGTTTTCTTTCTGTTTTCTTACAACTTTAACTACATAATATACTGTTTTTCCAAGCTTTGGGAGAAATCTAAAGATCGCTGTGCTTACAAGGGGACTTTCATTTGATCTCAATGGACTTTGAGCAAGCCATCCATTATGTGATGTCACTTGCTACTGACTGGCTGGACGACCCTGCTGGAGTTATTAAAGGCCTCAGCGAGGGCAAAATGAACCCATCTGTAACAAACTGACTTCATGGTACTGAATTATTAATGGCACAGTGAAGGAGTCAGATTTGAAGCGAGATACAGCCCTTGTGTAGAGGTTTTGTTGGATCTCACCATAGAGATAAAATACATTGTGAAACCTAGTTTTCTGTATCTTCCCTTAAGAGTCATAGGTTTATAGGATACTCTTCAAATGCATTGCTTGTTCCCCAGAAAGTCTGTTTGTTGTAAAGCTGCAAAGAAGGAGTAAAACTCCCTGTTATTCACTTGTCCTGTTCATTTCAGCTTGGCTTGGACGGAAAGGGCTTTGAACCAACACTGGAAGCTTTGTTTGGAGAGAAGGGATTTTTCCCAGACACTGCGAGCAAGGCCTTGTACTGGGTTGATGGAAAAGTGCCAGATCAAGTTTCCAAGGCACTTTTTGAATATTTTGGTTACTCCCAGGATGGCAAGCAGGACCAGGTACAGCTTGAAAATATTCTTTGTGCAGCACAGCATTCCTATCGTTACAGAATAATTACAGCCCTTCCCTCTTGTGAGCCTTCTTGCCTAGTAAACTTAAACAGAAGTCATTAATGCTATTTATCAATGTTTTTTTTCCTAATTCTGTGTTTGAGGTGCCTTTGTTTGGATACAAAACTGTAAGAAGTGCATGTGCAGATTAGCTGACGCTCACTAAGCAACTGTTCTAGATATACGATCTTGCAGATTTGTCATAAATCTATTTTAATACTTTCTGACTGAATTTTCAGGATGTCATGAAAGGAATAATGCTTAACTTTGAAAAAATGATAAAAGAACTGAGCAGCAAGGAAGCTCCTGAAGGAAGAGCATATCTGAGAATCCTGGGAGAAGAACTTGGGTACATGAAACTCAGTGATTTCAAGTTGCTGGGAAGCATGGTTTTAAAGAGTATTAAAACTCTTCGGACTGTTCCCGAAATGGTAAGTTTCTGATGTACTAATATGTGTGCTTAATATGGGAGGTTTCTACAAATTTTTTTTTAAGATTTAGGTTGTGTTTATCTATTATGTAAAGAATGGATATTTGATACTAGCATAAAAATAAAATTATTTAAAATAAAATGCCCAGGTTTAGTCTGAGGGACTCTGGGAAACCCATAAAAACTCCTCAATAACCAAGTGGAGTCATCCAGGAAGATGAGAGGAAAGAGAAAAAGAAGGTTCAGATGTTAGCATATGATTTATATACTGAAACAATCCCCAAAATCTTAGTGTTGACCATTATGTTATACTACCAAATCTCCAATTATGGAAATGTATATTAATATTGCATAATAATACATCATGCTAAAAAGAAAAGAGGATGTGATATAGTTTCAGAATATTTAGTAAAGCTCTTCTTTCATTGCAGTAAAAAAGATGTTTTGCCATTGACTTTGTGGAAGCCAGAATGTTACATGTTATCTAATTCACCTTTCTATGTGTATATCAAGGTAGATGATCTGTGTGATTTGAAGCAGGTGACAAAATCTAGCATTCATTTAAAGCTGAGATTTTGCTAAAAAATCTTCAGTAAATTTTTTGAAGCAAGGAATCTCTAGAAATTAGGTTCTGTACTCCATATGAAATTAATCTTTGGATTACACAGCTTCAATCGTTCCATAACCAATTTTTAAAGTACAAAATGTACATATTCCAAAGGAAAGAATTGTTGGTATTCATTTCCTTGTTTGGTTCACAGATTGCACAAGCCATCTCGAAAGGTTTTGACAGGGATTTATTCGTCCACTACATGTTCATGGACAACGAGTTTGAGCTCCCAACTGGAGCAGGTTTGCAACTGAAGTTTGCCTTGTCTGGAATAGTGACACCTGGGGCCAAAGTAGCTATGAAGCTTCATCAAAAAAGCGTAAGCTCTTTATATTTTGTCTTCTGCTAATGATCTACAGTTTCATTTAGGGATAAAACTGTGAGACCAGAAGAATTTTAAAGACTACAAAATACTCTTGAAATGAAAAAATCAGTTTACTTATTAGAGGTCTTCAGTTAATTTCTGGATGAAATTTACATTAAATTAAGAAGTAATAGATATAATATATTATGAGACATAATAAAACTTATGAATTAAAAGTATTTTAATTACCCTTTCAAAAATAATCCTTTAAATCTTTTATTTCAAAAAAAATTTCCCTGCTCTCAAATGCGAATAACAGAAAAGCTACAGCATGTGAATTTACTGTTCAAACCAAAGAGTTAAAAAAACTGTTGGTGTGGCAATTTCAAAGTGAAAATTTTGTTTTTTTTGTTAAAAGAAATATTGAAAATGCAGTTAAATGAAGTATTTTTTGATCTGAAGAGAAACATTTTTAAATTGTAACAATTAAAGAGCATAGGATGCAAAGCTAATTATCTGGTCAAAATTTTCAAAATTTAGATTTACTCTTTCTGTTCTTTTTTACATTTTAATAGCTATTTTCTCTAATTTAATCAATATTTATATAAATTCCTTAATAGTTTCAGTTCACCTAAGATTTTCATTTTCCACCATATAAATTATTTAAGTGAAAATTAAAAAAAATTAATCCTCAAATGTAGTACTGGTTGCATTTTGCTCACCTTTGGAATCTTTTCCAGAATTCTGCATTCAGTCCCTTTTTTCTGTAATTGCCAAACCAAGAAAATAATCTGTTTTCCATTTAGAGAGGTTCAAAACTTGGATTGATTTCTATTTTGTCAAATAGTTTACTCATTGTTTTTGAAAATTGGTAATTGTTATTACAATGGAAAACTGGCTCTTGCCTTCAGATTTAAAAATAAATGGAAGTAGCTCCACATACAAAAGTTTTCTGAAGCATGAGTATTTTTACATTAGAGTAGGCAAGGTTCCTTGTTGTTATCAAATTGCTGTATTTGTTACATTACTGTTACCACTAATGTGATCCCTCTGCCTGTGTGACTTGGGAATCAAATATTTGAACAGCAAAATCAATTATGTAAAACCTATCTCTAGATTATCAAGAATATTACATTTGTGTTCTGAAAGCAGTCAGAAGTGTGTTGAGTAAATAAGTACACCATTTTGTTTTTATTAAATAGATGCAAGCAGAACTCATTGCTAAACCTTCAGTAGCAATTGAGTTTGTAACACACCTGGGAATAAACATGCCTGAATTTGCTAGAAGTGGTGTGGAGATGAATTCAAATATATTCCATGAATCTGGAATTGAAGCACATGTTAGTCTGAAAGCTGGACAGCTGAAATTCAGCATTTCTCTTCTCTTCTCTTCTCTTCTCTTCTCTTCTCTTCTCTTCTCTTCTCTTCTCTTCTCTTCTCTTCTCTTCTCTTCTCTTCTCTTCTCTTCTCTTCTCTTCTCTTCTCTTCTCTTCTCTTCTCTTCTCTTCTCTTCTCTTCTCTTCTCTTCTCTTCTCTTCTCTTCTCTTCTCTTCTCTTCTCTTCTCTTCTCTTCTCTTCTCTTCTCTTCTCTTCTCTTCTCTTCTCTTCTCTTCTCTTCTCTTCTCTTCTCTTCTCTTCTCTTCAATAATACTTATAATAATAAAGCACTTGATCATTTAACCACTAAATGTTTTTTCAATAAGTTATTTTTATTCAGAAAATTATCTTGTTAATAGGACAATGTCTGAACATCTGTCCTGGGAATAAATGGCTCAATTTTCTGTTCCAGCAATACACTCCATTTGGTGTCTCCAGCCAAAACTGAAGAGATTCCACCTCTGATTGAGAACCAAGAAACCTGGACTTCTTGCAAGCCTTTCATTGCTGGTCTGAACTTCTGCACCAAATTATTGTACTCTAATGCCAGTGACACAGAGGCAGCTCCATATTATCCCTTGACTGGAGAATCCAGGTAAGCCATATCAATTTTAACTATGTTTATTTTGTGTAAACTAATCTACCCTCTTAGAGCTTAGTATCTGCAGTACCCTCTCACATAATGCTTACCTTTAAAAAGCTTTAACAGCAGACTAGCAGGAGAAGCTCAGAAAGAGCTGTTGTGGACTGCATAAATTCTTTCGTCTGTGATCATGAACCACATAATTATTTACAAGACATTTGTTTACTCCTTCTTTAGATTTGAAGTGGAAATAGTGGCCACAGGTGAAGTGAGGGAATACTCTGCAAGTGCAAACTATGAACTGCAGAGAGAGAACAGTGAGCTGATAGACACCTTAAAGTTTGCTGTCCAGGCAGAAGGTAAGAGTCTGAATAAACAGTGTGGTTTACCTCAGTTTTGAATAGTGCCATTTAATGGGAAAAAGATTTGTCAGAAAAAATCCTAACAGAGCTCTTTACAGTATAAAATAGAATATCATTATCACACCCAAACAGGCCAGTGCTTTAATTCCATTTTGTTTTATGTATGCATCCAGTGCAAGATTTTAATGATCAGAGACTGATTGGTATCCCAAAAATGCTTGCCAGCGATTTAAATGAAAGCGTGATGTTGGTGAATGGAAGCAAGGAAATAGAGAAGTTAATGGGTGCTCTACACACAAAAGAAAAATACTATTTCTGATTAAATATGGAAATAAAGCATACAAATTGAGAAGAACTGCATAAACAGCAATTTTTTTCCAAAGGGAGGATCTGTTGATTAGCAAATTCACACAACAAAAGAGGTGATGGGATTAGTGGATCAGGCCAGGGTGCTTTTAGAAGATGAGGAGATAAAAATGCCCCAGTTTCTGATTCAGACTTATCAAAGGTTGCATTAAATCTTCAGGGTGGTATAATTTCTATTTGATCCTTTTTTATTATCCTTTTAAGAAAAGTCAAACTAGATTCTATAGATGTAAATAACCAAAGTACATTATATTTTCCAGGTGTAAATCAGCATGAGGCCACATTGACCTTCAGGTACAACAGAAAAAGAGAGACTTGGAGCAGTGATGTCCACATTCCAGATATTGATGTTGACTTTGGTACAAACTTCAGAATCATTGATGACTCCATTCCTGGGAAGAAAGCAGATTATACCTTTGTTATAGACTTTCACAATAAGAAGAATTCTGAAGTTACTCTTACTGGCCAGATGAGGTAAGTCGAAAAAAAACTTACACCTTTACAGATACCTTTGAGTAAGACAGCTGAAAATTTTGTTGAAGGTAGAAAATTTGGGGAAATTTTTTCCCATTTTCGGAAATTGCTTCTATAAAGAGACATATAAACTTGTCATTCAAACCTTCTTTAAAAACCCTTGATTTGTAATCCATCATGTATACATCAAATGAATACATCTAATGCCTGAACTGATCTTTCCTACTAGGTGTACATACATAATTTTTGTTACAAGTTCCTTGAGCTAGTTCTCCCATGTTTGCACACACATGACTACAGGAATGGCATTGTACTAGTGTTATTGCAGGTGTGATAATCCAAGATACAAACAAGGGTAGGCTTGTTCAGAGAGGCATTCTCTTTTACTGGGTATGTTTGGCTCTAAAAGAAGTTATTACATCTCCCCATGAAGAAATCTAATGACACTCAATAAGCAACAAAACCAAAAATAACTGAGAGCTTCCTGTAAAAATTCCCACGCTTCATGATGAGAATATTTCCGGGAACATCTACAGGGGAGCTAACAAAAATGTTCAGCCTGCCAGGGTTTCTAAAATTGTCTGCCTCACAAGCCCATAGCGAAATGAGCTGATCACATTCTTTAATAAACCTCAATCTTCCATGGAATTCTGTGATCTTGATGGTGCCCCAGGGAGTCTTTGTCTTTGCTGTTCATGCAGAATTGCCTCTGATATCAGTGGGAGCTTTGGACAGATGTCAGGGACCTCAACTCCCTTTCATTTGCACTAACATAATATGAGAAGTTTGCTCAAGTCAACAAAGTTACCGAGATATAAAATAAATGTGAATAAAGGAAAATGGAGCCCAGTGGCATAATATATTTTGTCAAGTGTTTTGTTTCTTTGTGATTCATGGCCACATTCTGTATCCTTAGTAGAGAGTTCAGCTTCAGTAAGGAGTTCAAAAATTGGTTCAGATACAACTTTACCAAGGCAGGTACATATTTCCATCCTTTTCAGTACTGTGAAATAAATACAGAATTATTATTGTGTCTATCTGCACAACAGCATGTAATAATTTACCATAGATTCCCTAAAGTAACGAGTAGAAGCTGAAAAGATTCATTGAGTTGGAACAGTTTACAAGTTTGATTCAATCTGGTTTTTATAACAGCTTTTATGCGCTTACTGTAGATGCAAATGCTGAAGTTGCTCCTAAAACATAAGTAAAAAAGTAGAATGAAATGGTTTATATTCAGATTTACTTTTTGCTTTCACAGATATGCTGGAATGGAAGAGGCAATGTTAAAAGGTACCGTTTCTATTCCTCGCCTGCAAACTGAATTGAGAACTGAAGCACTCGTTAATTATTCACCACCTAAAGGGTTTCTTCAGATGAGCTCAGCTGCAACAACTTATGGAAACTCAATTTCAGAAAGAGTTCTCTTCAGATATGGTAGGGGCAAAAATATGATCCACATGTGCATCCTATAAATTTCAACATCCCGTTGCATTAGCTTGCAGTATATCCTTAAGCGGAATAAGAGTATTATTAATTTGACTCTTTTCTTTTAACTTCATAATTTTCAGATTCTGAGAAAATTGAGCTAGAGTGGAATTCAGGTGCCAGTGCTGCTGTGAGAAAAATGTCTTCTGGCTTCCCAGTTGACTTCTCAGAATATCCCAGAACTTTAGAGAAGCATGCCAATGAACTGCTGGATCGGAAAGTGGCCCATACGGATATGACAATGCGACATATTGTGTCACAGTTTATTTTGGTATGTTTCAACCATACTATGGCTCGACCACATAGCCCTGGTGAATTCTTGCCTCCCCAAAGGAAGCCAAAATGAGAACTAGTTGTAAAATCACTCATTAGTTTGAATGAAATGTATAGTTCCAACTGTGATGGAACCAGTCACTTTATCAGATGCCTAGGGCTCTGATAGTATATTACTAGTCTCAATGGCTTTCAGATGTTATTGGGAAGTCCTGAAACTTGTTATTTACTTTGAAAGACTTGTCTCCTCATTGCAGGCAACCAACACCTGGCTGCAAAAGGCATCAAAAGATGTTCCCTATGCCCAGACTCTGCAAGACAAACTAAATGGACTCCAGGAACTAAGCATTCAGAAAATTAACCTTCCAGTTATCACCATTCCTGAAGAACTTTTCCTGCAAAGGTAGGGAGAGAAATTAGTGGTTGTGTTGCATTGCTGCTCTGCCTACATGTAAGAATTCAAGGAATAGTGTTGCTTGGAAGTATCTTCAGAATATACCTCAGCTACCACTGTAAAAATGTATCACATTAAAATTATATTAGTAGGAATTTCGACTTCTCTATGATGTTGCTTTTTTAACCATTTGATGTAAAAAAACAAATATCAAAAATGTTTCCTTAATTTTCATTTTAGGATGTAGCTCCAAGTGTAAAAAAGGTTTTGTAATATAAAAGACCAGTTAGGCAAACAAGAAAAGCGTCTCTGCCAGCTTATTGTTCATGCACAAATTAAGCCCAAGTTTCCTCCTGTTTTGCCTTTTCATAATTACACTTTTTCACCACAAGGTTTTCAGCTGATGATCCATTTTTTCCAATCTTAGCTCCTGGTCAAATGGTTAGATTTTTATCTGGTTTTATTCGGAATAAAATAAACACTGAATATTTGGATGAAACTTTTGAAAAGCTTATTATCAGAAAGATATATTATTTGTAACTTAGTTTCTTACAAAATCTAATGCTAATAAGACGTTTCATGCTTTTCTATAAGAGTGCAGCACTTTTAAAAAGAAGAATAGAATTGCCTTTTTTGGGTCCTCACCATGCCACATTGCCCAGGTGCATCAGTAAATCCTGATAGACGAGTGCTTAAAAAATGCTGGTAATAATAGATGATCATTACATTTCCTTCTAAACCTAAAGTCAGGATATTGATTTAAGCATATAAGCTTAGTATCATGGGAATAGTAGGAATCATGGAAATTCCTGTATATGCTTCATGAACTAACAGTTTCTAACAATGTCCCTTTTATTTTCTAGTGAAGGACGGATCAGATACAACTTGAATAAGGACAGTTTTCTAATCAATATCCCACTGCCATTTGGTGGAAGATCATCTCATGACATAAGGGTGCCACAGACAGTTAAAACACCTCCTCTGGTGATGGAGTCAATGGGAATAAGTGTGCCGTCTCAGGAATACAGAATCCCCACGTTTACTGTTCCAGAATCCTATCCTCTTCGTGTGCCTTTACTTGGTACTTTAGAGGTCTCTGCTAACCTGTACAGCAACTACTACAACTGGACAGCAGCATACACTTTGGCTAACAGCACCACAGAGAAAGCATCCGGCGTGAGAACGACTTATGCCACAAACGCCGAGTCAGTTTTTGAGCTACTTTCCTACAGTGTGAAAGGTAAGGATGCGTGCTAATGCAGCAACGTTAGCAAAACTATTTTAATTACTTTATTTTCCATGTGTCAGATACAGCACGTTCATTTTCCTGTGGCTTATTTAAGGAAAGGTATCATACAATCTCAAATCGCTTTCTCTTTTTTCTTTTTTTTTTAAAAGAGTCTGTTTATTCAGGCACTAAAGGTGAAGTCAGTTTAATTCAATAAAGACTTTTAAGGTCCATATTTTCCCAGATATTCCCTACTGATAAAAGAAAAAAAAAAACAAAAAAAACTTTTAGAACTGAGGTAATGATTTTACAAACATTTGTGTATTTTACAAGTCAAGTGTTTTCAAAATTGGGTGTACAGGTACATGTGTGGCTATGCCCACAGTTTATTTCTCACTCTGTATTCATGTGTATATAGATATATAGGCTTTAATTATTTATATGTCCATATACTGCCATGACTACATAGGACTTATCCTGGACTTGGACTAGATAGGTCTTGAGACTGGTATTTTTAAGTTAGTGCCTCTAAAATTGCAGTCTGAGTTCTCAAATTGCAAAAGGACAAGCTACATGGAGTCTTTCCTAAACTCCCCAACATAAATGAATCATGATAAAGAAAAGACCAAAATCCACGAGTGTTATTTGGTTACCCATCTTCTTAATCTAAGTTTAAATAATGGCATGATTTTGTGATATATCACATAATTCTATTTAGCAGTGTAGGAAAGAGATTTAGTTTATTCATAGTTCAAAACTTTAGCCCCAAATCTCAAGATAGTAACAACTTTTACAGAAATATTTAGGATTTACCAAAACATTTTGGGCTTTAAAGCAAGTTAACAGTAATTGCAGTTTGAGCAGTAACATAAAAACTTAGTGGCATCAGACAAAGTCTTAAAGTTAAAAAAGGTATAAATTACACTGTCATCTTTTGTCTCCTTTTTCCTATTTCAGGCTCTGGAGAAGCATCATATGGTAGAAATGGATTCACCTGTGCATACGAAAATCACCTGAAGCACAGTCTCCTAACATCAGTTTTTAAGTTGGCCAGGACGAAGACTTATGAACCTAGTTCAGTTGCAAACTACACCATATCACTTACAGCATCCAGTACTCTGGGACCTCAGCTATCATTGTCTGGTGATATTGTTTCTGAAAAGACAAATAACGTGAATATCAATAACGTGAAGATGGAGGGGCAGCTGGAAGTGGCTTCTGTCTTTGCAAGAAGCATTTACACTCTGTCCAGCTCGTACAATGAAAAGAGACGGTTTTTAGAAGGAAAATCAAATCTGAAGTTGGATTCTTCTTACCTTCAGGCGACCAATCAGATATCTGGCAGATACAGTGATGATTTATGTTCTATTACTTCAGTTTCTGATGTGCAGAATGGGCTATTAAAGAACACAGCTTCACTGAAGTATGAAAACAGCCAGCTGAAAATGACATCTGAAACAAATGGGAGGTATCGACACATTGCAGGTGTCAATAAGCTTGAACTGATTTTGTCAAAGAAGATAGCAGCACTTCGATCTGAATATCAAGCCACCTACAAGCAAACCCAGTATTATGCCTTGTTTGCAGGTTCTCTCAATTCCCAGGATCTTGTTTTCAACACTGACCTCTCTGTGACTGGTCAAAAGAATCGAGCTGCACACAAGTCATCATTCAACGTCAATCAGTATGGTCTGGCCAGCAGTGCAACCACAAACGTGCAGTTTAGTCCATTGACAATGCAGAGCGAAATGAATGCCAAACTTGACACTGCTGGAGGCTCCATGTCACTGTCCTCTTCTGGGCGCTATGGTAAAAACAGTGCAAAGTTCAACCTAGGGGGAAGAGCGAGCCTAGCGGAAATAACGCTGGGGAGTGAATACCAGAGCACAGTTCTGGGTATGGATAATAAACATGTTTTAAACTTCAGAGTTAACAGAGAAGGACTCAAGTTTTCAAATAACTTGCAAGGATCGTTCAGAGAGATTAAGTTGGAGTATACAAATGATTTGAATATTCCTGGCTTATCCTTAACATTTGCTTCGAAGTTAGACAACAGCTTCAGCTTTGACAAGTTCCACAAGCACGTTTTTGACCTACAGCTGCAGCCTACCTCACTTACAGCTAAACTGACCAATAATATTAAATACACTAAAACTGAAGTTTCCAACAAAGCAGAACTGCTTCTCGAGCCTCTGAAGCTGAACTTGGGTGGCAATGTCAGAGGAGCCTATGGGGCAGATGAAATAAGGCACACCTACACCATTGCATATGCTGATCTAGCTGCCAACTTTAAAACAGATACAGTCGCAAATATTCAAGGTGTAGCAGTAAGTCACAGAGTCAATCTCAATATGGCTGGACTTGCTTCCTCACTTACTATGAACACAAACTGTGACTCCAAATCTCTCCACTTCAGCAATGCTGTGCGTTCCACTATGGCCCCATTTGCTATGACTGCTGACATACACACCAGCGGTAACGGAAAGCTGATCGCTATGGGTGAACACACAGGAGACCTTTACAGCAAATTCCTGTTTAAAGCAGAACCTCTTGCTTTCACTTTCTCCCATGATTACAGAGGATCTACCAGTCATAGCTTGAAGTCTAGGGGAAGACACACTACCCTGCTTGATAGCAAAGTCCATACGCTTTTTACTCCTTCAGAGCAGTCAAGTGCTTGGAAGTTGAAAAGTCAGCTAAACAATAATGTGTATTCACAAGATCTCACTGCTTACAATGATGCAGAAAAGACCGGTGTGGAACTTAGTGGAAGAGCTTTAGCAGATCTCTCTGTCATGGATACGTCGGTCATACTACCATTCACATCTGAAGAAGTTAATTTAATTGATGTATTTGGCCTCAGGGACAGTGTGTCAGAGCCTCAAGAATTCAGCATCTCTGGCTCTGTGAAGTATGACAAAAATAAAGATATGCATGTTATTAACCTACCATTCTTGGAACATTTGCCAGTTTACTTTGAACAAATCAGAGGCACCATTCTGTCCACTCTGCAAGCCATACAAAGTTACCTGAAGAACATTAACATAGAACAACATATGAGAAAATACAAGGCAACGTTGGATAAACTCCCACAGCACTTAAATGATTACATGGACAAATTAGATATGAAAGGCAGAGTTAGCAGCATGAAAAATACTTTGGTTGCTTTCACAAAGGACTACAGAATAACCTCTGATGATCTCCAAATTATTCTGGAAAAATCCATGGACAATCTTCAAGAAATACTGTTTCAGTTGAAGATTTATCTGATAAAAATTGAGGAATACGTCAAAGAATTTTATGAGCAATATGATATTAAAACATTAATTGCACAGCTTCTTGAACAGATAGTTGAAACGTTGGCATATTTAGATAACAAATATGACATAAGAGTGACTGTAGTTGACACTATTCAAAAACTGCTAACTTTTTTTCGCGAGCATTTTCCTATTGAAACTGGATGCGGCTCTTGGGATTGGTGTACGAAGCTAGTTAGTGTGTACGATATTACAACTAGAATAGAGAAAAACCTAGAACAACTCAAGATTCAGATTCAGAATATTGATGTCAGACGCATTGCAGAAAATTTGAAAGAGCAGATTAACCTGTTTGATGCCAAAGAAGCTTTAGAAAAACTGAAGCATTCATTACCAATTGAAAAAATTAAAGAAGTTCTTGAACAAATCACATACTTTATTCTAAACTGGATGGAGGAGTATGAAGTGTCTGAGAAGATCAGTGCTTTCCGAGGTCATATGCACAAACTAATTGTAAAATATGAAGTTGATAAGCAGGTATATTTTTTAATGGACAGAATGATAGAACTTCTTAATCAATACAGAATAAAAGAAACTGTCCAGAAACTGACCATCTACCTGAAAAATGTTGATGTGAAATCATGCTTTGATAAAGTTGTTGCTTTCGTTGATGATGCTGTCAAGAAAGTGCAAACCTTTGATTACGAAATGATGATAAAGGAAGTCAACAAGTTCCTTGACATGATTATTAAAAAGCTCAAGTCTTTTGACTATAACCAGTTTGTTGATAATACAAATAAAAAAATCCGAGAAGTGACCCAGAAAATAAATGAGGAACTCAGAAATCTAGAACTTCCACAGAAAGCAGAAGCACTGAAACAATATATGAGAGACTTCAGAGCTGTGATTTCAAAATACATGGAACAACTAAGGGACACCAAGCTTGCTGCGCTAATTAAGTGGTTCAAGGAGCTGATAAACTCAACAACATTTGCCAGTCTGAAAGCTGAGATAAATGAACATCTGGAAGACCTGCGACAGAGGATTTCTGAAATTGATATTTCCCAGGAAATCCAGTGGTATCTTCAGAAGATAAGCCAGTTCTACAATTCTATTTTGGTATACATTTCTGACCAGTGGAACATAGCTTTTAAGAAAATCATTGCTTTGGCTGAAAAGTATGATCTAAAAAATTGGGCTGAAAATTTAAACCACTTTGTTGAAACAGGATTTCAAGTCCCTGAAATCAGAACTGTTATAGTCACTATACCTGCATTTGAGGTTAGTCTCCGAAGTCTTCGGGAAGCAACATTTCGAACACCAGAGTTCATTGTTCCACTGACTGATCTGCATATCCCCTCCTATGAGATAAATATTAAGAGACTGAAGGACATGAAAATCCCACTGAAATTCACAACTCCAGAATTCACGGTTCTAAATACCTTTAAAGTTCCTGCCTATACAATTGACTTGAGAGAGATTAAAATTCAGATTGTGAGAACAATAGACAAAGTCATATCCGGTGAATTTCAGTTGCCAGCAATTGACTTGTATTTTAAAGATCTGAAGATGAGAGATATGCCTTTTTCTGACATCTCTTTCCCAGAAATACAAATGCCTCAGTTTCAAATACCAGAATTATTGGTTCCAAAGCTAAATCTAAATGACCTCCAGATTCCTAACATGAAGATACCAGAGTTTGAGCTTCCACGTATTCCGCATACTGTGACTGTCCCTACTTTTGGCAGATTGTCTGGTGCTTTCAGAGTCACTTCTCCATTCTTTACACTCTCTGCACATGCTGAAGTTCATAATACTACAACATCTGCAAACAGTCCAGAATTTGTGACCTCCCTTTCAGCTCAAACAACGTCCAAATTAGACTTCCTGGTTTTTAATGTTATTGCAGATTCACGTCTCTTGGCCCCCGAGATGAAGAAGCTGAACCTGAAAAATTCTGTGAAGGTCAACCACAGGTTCCTTAAAGTTGATCACACCAATGAAGTGGTATTTTTAGGGACTTCAGTAGAAGGTGAAGCTGAAACTAGAGCAAACTTCTATACAACAAGAAATTCAATAGAACTGCAGAATAATTTAATGGTCAAGCTGCAAAGAAAAATTTGGCTGCAGAGTGGAACAGCATATTCCCACAGACTGAATATTCCACAAGCTGATTTCTCCAGCCAGGCTGATCTTGTCAATAATATGACAACAGAGGTAGAAGCAGGACACATATCATTTACCTCCACTGGTACAGGAAACTGGAAATGGGCCTCTCCCAGCTTCTCGGATGAAGGCACTCATGATTCACATGTCACTTTCAGGGTTGAGGGCTCCGTTATTACGTTCTCTGCCAGCAACAGAATAAATGATAAGTACCTGAGAGTCAACCAAGTTATGAGATATGAATGTGATTTCTTAAACTATGCAACACTTCAGATTCAGTCTGAAATCGAGTCACAGCGTGTGGGACGTAGTGTTCTGAATGTAAAAGGCAGAGGGCATGTTGGAGCAATGAAAGTAGAATTAACAGGCTCTCACAATGCTCGGCTCAATGGACGGATTACTGGAACTGTAAATAATGAAATTTCCTTCTTGGCACACCTTTTTGAAATTCGTCTAGTAACAAACAATGATGGAAATGTGAAAATCAGCCTCCCAATGAAACTGACTGGCAAAATTGACTTTCTGAATAACTACGGTTTTGCTCTCAGTGCCTCTGTTCAACAGGTCAGCTGGCAAGCTACTGGCAGGTTCAATCAGTACAGATATTCCCATAACATATCTGCTGGGAACAATGATGACAGAATTGAAGCTCATGTTGAAATGAATGGAGATGCCAACTTGGACTTCCTAAACATCCCTCTAACCATTCCTAAGCTTCAGGTGCCCTACACTGGAATCAAAACACCTCAGCTAAAAGATTATTCACTGTGGGAAGATGTAGGCCTGAAGCATTTGTTGAAGACAACAAGACAATCCTTTGATTTAAATTTGAATGCTCAGTATGATAAAAACAGAGACATGCATGTAATCCCACTGCCTTTAGCAACAGTCCATGAAGCACTTAATAAATACATCATTTTCTTCAATAAGCACTTTGAGAGAGGAAGAAATACCGCTTTAGATTTTCTCACAAAGTCATATAATGAAGCCAAAACAAAATTTGACAAATACAAAATACAGACATCCCTGAACAAACTACCACGGACCTTCAGGATTCCAGGATACACCATTCCAATTTTGAATATTGAGGTTTCTCCTTTTACTGCTGAGATGCCAGCATTTGGTTACATGCTCCCAAAAGAAATAAGCACAACAGGATTCACAGTCCCACTTATTGGCTTTTCAGTACCATCTTACACACTAGTTTTACCTTCTCTGGAGCTTCCAGTCCTTCATGTCCCACAGGATCTACGCACTCTAAAGCTTCCTAGATTCAGAATCAACAGCCCATCAAACCACATCTTAATTCCTGCCATGGGAAACTTTACTTACGACTTCTCATTTAAATCCAGCGTGATCACTTTAACTGCAAGTGCTGGGCTGTTCAATCAATCAGATATTGCTGGGCAACTCAGTGTCTCATCTTCTTCTGTCATTGATGCACTGCAGTTTAGGCTAGATGGTTCGACAAGCTTGATAAGAAAAAGAGGGTTGAAGCTGGCCACAGCATTGTCCCTGAGCAATAACAAATTTCTAGGAGGAAACCATGACAGCACTATTAGTCTCACAAGGAGGAACATAGAAGCTTCAGTGGAAACAACTGTAGAGATCAACACACCAGCTTTAAAAATGAATTTCAGCCAAGAACTTTCTGGAAATACTAAATCTAAACCCACACTTTCCTCAGGGCTAAAATTAACATATGATTTTAATACTACTAAATTGGGCAGCAGTGCCAAGGGAGGAATTGCTCACAAACTTGCTTTAGAGAGCCTTACGTCTTACCTATCAGTAGAAACGTCTACAAATGGGGATATTGATGGAGTATTTTACACTGGAAATGCATTTTCTGGGAGCCTAGACCATGAGGCAAACACCTATCTGAATGCTAACGGAGCTCGATCATCTCTCAAGTTTGAGGCCCACTCCAAAGCAGATGGACTCTGGAACAGTGAAATGAAAGAAATACTTGCAGTTGAAGCATCCACCCGTCGTGTTTATGCAGTCTGGGAGCACAATGGGAAGAACTATGCACGATACACACCTCTTTTCACAACAACTGGGGCTCAGAGATGCAAAGCAACCTTAGAGTTGGCTCCTTGGAGTATATCAGCAGATCTTCACATTCAAGCAACTCAGCCAAATTCCTTCTTGGACACAGCCTCAGTTAATCAAGTTGTCATAGTAAGAATCAATACTGCAAAACAGAAAGTTGGTTGGAAGGGTGAAGGCCAAATTGAGTCAGTATCTCTCAGTCATGATATGCAGTTATCAAATGAAGAATCAAAGGCAAAGTTTGATATTTCTGGATCTTTGGAAGGATACATGGACTTCCTCAAAAATATAAGGTGTCCCATTTCTGAGAAGAGCTTATGGGATATCTTGAAGTTGGACGTCACTACCAGCGCTGACAGAAAACAATACTTAAATGGTTCAGCATCCCTCGTGTACACAAAGAGTGATGATGGATACTTCTTCCCCATACCTGTGAATAAGCTGACGGATGGCTTCACTTTCAGTATTCCTGAGTTACATCTAAAGGCTCCAACCCCTGTTTTCAGCACTCCAGAGTTCAGAGTTCCTTTCACCACTCTCCAAGTCCCAGCATACAGCGTTGACTTGCGCAACATAAAAATTCCACAGACGCTGAACACAATGCCATTTGATGTCAACTTACCCACGCTGCCAAAACTAAGATTCCCCAAAGTGGATGTAGGAGCCGATTACATCACATTAGAAGAATATAAAATACCATATTTTGAGATGACAATACCTGAATACCAAATAACTGTGTCTCAATTCACTCTTCCGAAGAGCATTTCTCTTGGCAGTTTCCATGTAGATCTGGATGATGTAGCTAATAAGATTGCAGATTTTGATCTGCCCACAATTACAATTCCTGAACAGAAAATTGAGATACCCCCTCTCAAAATATCCTTGCCTGCTGGAATTTACATCCCCTCATTTGGTGCCTTGACTGGATCATTCAAAGTTGCTTCCCCTTTGTACAATGTCACCTGGACAACAGACTTAACAAACAAAAAAGACTCTTTTGAACAGTCCATTGACTCTACCTGCAGCTCAACATTGCAGTTCCTGGAATATGACTTGAATGGTAAGACATTAAAATTCTGTATGCCACAACCTGGGGGGAAATACTGATACAGATTTTTTTTTTCCCCCCAAGACTTTGCATATGATGGTGTTGCTGTCTATTTATTATTGACACTAGATTATACTTTTTTAGCATCAGCATTTTTTCATAAATTATTATCAGAGCCTCAGTCAGTCACCCTGAAGGCTAATGACTAGATATAACAAATGGCATACCATGAAAAAAAAAACCAAATTCCATATAGTAGTTTGTTACTTTAAATTGTGAATCAGAGAACATTCCCCTTTCATTTCCACTAATACTTGTAAAGGAAAGAAGGCAGGCTGACTTTATCTGGTTCAGTTCAGATAAAGAAATAACTATCTTTTTTGATAAGAACTAGGCATATTTTTAAAAAATTATTTCAACTCAGAATATTCTGAAGAGCTATATAGCATTGCATTCTAGACTGTATAATAATATTAAAAATCCACATCTGAATACAATCCTAAACTCTCAAGAAATTAGAATCCCCATTTATATCTGCATGAATGCAATCCTGTTGTTCTAAATACAGAGAAAAATTGAGTTAAAAAATACTGCAGTTGAACAAATATTTTAGTATAATTTTTTGTGGGGCATTATGGGCATTCGGTTTTTGATGCATAATTTTACATGCTACTGAAACACCCCACAGCTGGCTGTCTAACATACAGCTGGATATGTATGTTTTATTGTTTGATGGTAAGTTCTGGAAATACACACATTTGAAATCTTTTTTACAGTGGTTTCAAACTACAAATATGAAGAAGACATGTTTGTTATGAAGACAACTGGCAGCTTTTCACATCGTGACATGAGTGCAAACTACAAGGAAGTTCTTACTCTTTCAGGAATTAGGTAAATATATCTTCTAATAATACAATTTATAATAGACAAAATTGCCAGTGACGTATTGTTGCTTTGATCTCTGATGCCCCAGTGTGCTTTGCTGTAATTAATAAAAACCTTATGTAGGTACCCTGTCATTACTGACTGTGTGTTTTTCCCTCTTGAGATAGCTGGAAAGCTGTTCCCTCTCAGCATTTCTAAAACAGCTTTTCTGAGCAGCCCCATTTCAGAAAACTGCTGAGATATAAACAAAGTATTTTATCTGGGCAGTTCTAGAGCTGGCCATCAACATAGGGTTTTGTTTTTCTTCTTTACTTGATCCTTCTGCCACCACAAGCCATTAAAGAGAAATTTTTATTCACAAGTACTGGTAGTAGGGATTACAGATCTGACCTTCTAATGGCCTGTTTTGATCTGCAAGTGTTGTGTTGATATATCCAAGGGACAGAGCCTGTGAAGGCAAGTAAAATGCAGGTAAAAAATACTGCCTATACTTATGTTGATGGAAAAAAGTTGCAGTCAGCTTGTAGAAGTCTGTAAAAACCTGACAGCGGTACAGCTACAGGTTTTGTTTTGCTGCCCTAATTTAATGAAAGTTCTCAACAGAGCTTAATACAGTTTTATCTAAACAAGGAAAAATGCAGTGATGTGAAATTTTGAATGTGTTAGGCTAAATCCTAAGATATGTGGGTAGCAAACTCCTACATTTTCTTTTGATGACAAAGGCATTGCTTGCATACATATATATACATATAAAATAATAGGTGTCATTGTATTTAGCCGTACTGCATTGGGCTTGTGCTTTGTGCATTCCTTCATGGCTGTGTATTCACTGTTGTTGTAGACTCGTGGACAACACTGCATCACTAGACATCATCAGCCCAGCGTTTACAGACGTTCATATGCGTCATCGAAACACTGATAGGAGCTTATCTGGCTCAGTATCTTCACCATCTGCTGGGACCTTGGGCTATGTCATTGAAGTGGACACTGATGTTCTCATGGCAAAAGTTTACTACCGAACTCGGGTAAGCTTGATATGAGCAATAAAAAGCAAAAGGATTGGATGTAGTCAGAGGAAAGTTTCCTGTTTAAAGTTTGTGTAGGTTTACGGTGAGGTATAAATTAGCCACTTTTTGTCCAAAGGAAAGGTATATTATCAGTAATTAAAGTCTTTGTTTCCTACACCGTCCTTTCCAATTCTAAAAGTAGTATCTGTGTGAAGAGGCTGTTTCAGCTCCTCCACGCTGTTAATTTTGCCCTCTGCTAAGATCAAGAAGACACACCAACTGAAAGTGAAGCAAGTACAAAGACAGTTTTATTTAAGCCAGCCATCAAGCTATGTAAAATTACTAAGAAAGTGGCTATTGTAGGAAACAGGCCACTGGAAGAGGTCAGACCATCTACAAAGTGTTTTTTTTTAATTCAGTAATATGTCACAATACATACTGAGAATTAAAAACCTGACTAGTTTTGCTAGTAAAACATGCTATTATTGGCCTACTACAACAATTTCAGACTTAAAATCTTACCTTCCAAATAAGAGTTTAAGAATCATAATTCACTATTTACTACTGAAAACTGGAAACTTTATTTATGTAAATAGATTCTCATTTAAGGATCTTTAATTGCTATGAGTAACTCTCTAAATTGTCTCTTTGGTTTACATTTTTACAAAATTAAATCCTTTAATATTTTCACATGAATTTGAATTCACTTTACATTATGTTAAGAATGAGTAGAAGGCTCAGTTTCCCAAGTAATTTACATGCCTTATGAGACATGATGGGAATTTAATATAAAGGAAAGAAAAATCTTATTTGCAAATTTTAAAAGCCACCAGACTAAGTTATGTTCTGGTCCTGCTGTTTGAAGAGCTACAAAGAAGCTTAATACAATATAATTTCTTTCAAAATAATGTTCCAAGATGAGAAACACACAGTAGACAAAAAATTCTAGTGCATTTGTCCCAATATATAATAAATTTAAAGATGCAAATCGAGAATGTTGAAATACACTCATAGAGCATATTTGATTTGTTTTATATACAAGCTACCTTTTTCTTATCCTGCCTCTTCTACATTTTCAGTCTGCTCCTCAGAAGGACATTGACATATTAAAAAGTGAGATATCCTTCAGGAAACCCGACCTCATCCAAATGAAATTCAACTGGAAAGAGGATGCTGCCAAAGACTTGCTGTTGGGTCTGAAAGAAAAAGTACCTAAAATGACAAATGCAGTCTATAGGTATGTTAATCGGTATCATAAGGAGTATATGGGACTGGAAATTAGTGCTGCCACCTTAAAGATGAAGAATATCATGCAGAATAATGCTGACAAAGCATATACATTTGCTGTAAAACAAATAGATCAAATAGATGCTCAGCTTCTCACAGCTGCCAATGAGGCCTCTGGCAAGTATCAGGAGATGAAGGTCAAAGCTAAACAGCTATATCAAGAAGCAGCAGATCAAGCTGAACAGTTTGACTATCAAAGTGTAAAAGCAAAGTTTTTGGATGCTGCAGTGGACATAATAGAAGAATATCACAAGAGAATAAAACACCTAATTGACTCAGCTATTGAATTCCTGAAGACCACAAAATTCCAGGTCCCTGGGCTGTCTGAAAAGTACACTGGTGAAGAAATATACCTCAAGACTACAGAGAAGGTAGCAAAAACTGTTGATTTATGCCTTTCAAAACTCCAGGAATACTTTGATGCCTTGATTGTAGCTATCAATGAGCTGGAAGTCAGAGTTCCTGCATCTGAAACAATTCTTAGAGGCCGTAATGTACTTGATCAAATTAAAGAAATGCTGAAACACTTGCAGAAAAATATCAGACAGACATTTGCTACTCTCCAAGAAGCTGACTTTATTGGAAGGCTTAAGCAACTGAAACAAGTAGTGCAACAAGTTTTTCAGAAGGTAGAAGAAATGGTTAGAAGCTTGCAATCCAAAAATTTTGAAGACATAAAAGTTCAAACACAACAGCTGTACAAAGATGCAATGGCTTCAGATTATGCACAGAAACTGACATCCTTGGCAGAAGACATTAAAAAATACATTTCTCTGTTGAAAGCTTTTAGCCAAAAGACATTCCAGGACCTTTCAGAAAACCTGAGCCAGCTGCTGCTCTATGTAAAGGAGCTGCGGGAGGAATACTTTGATCCAACTACACTTGGATGGTCAGTGAAATACTATGAGGTGGAAGACAAGGTACTAGGATGGCTGAAGAATCTAATAGACACACTAGTGGACTGGCACAACCAGTATGTTGGAGATCTTGCTGACTCAGTCACACGCCTGACAGACCAAGTAAGAGAATTGGTAGAAAACTACAGCCAGGAATATTATGACCTTTTAAGTGATCTTGAAGGAAAAGGAAAACAGAAGTTGATGGAGCTCTCATCTGCCGCTCAGGAAAAAATCCGAGATTGGTCTGCAGCCGCTAAGAGGAAAATCAATGAACATAACAAGCAAGTCAAAGAAAAACTCCAGGAGATCTATGGGCAGCTTAGTCATTCCCAAGAAAAGGTAATCAGTGAGGCCAAAAGGTTAATTGATCTAACTATAGAAAATTACTCTGCATTCCTGCAATATATCTCAGAGCTTCTTCGTTGGCTGGAGCAAGTAACAGCTGAGAGCGTAAAGCCGTATATAGCTGTGCGCCAAGGAGAGCTTAGAATAGATGTGCCCAAGCCATTTGACTGGCAATCCGTTTACCAGATGCCCCAAAAAAGCAGAGAGGCACTCAGGAAAAAAGTGGAACTAACACGCACGCTGATTCAGCAAGGCATTGAGCAAGGCTCCAGGAAATGGGAAGAAATGCAAAGATTCATCGATGAACAACTTGCCACTGAGCAACTGAGTCTTCAGCAGATTATAGAAAATCTACAGCAGCGCATAAAGACCTGAATGGACATGCAGAAGATGAGAAGTAACATGTTTGTACCACAATGTATTTAAAAAAACATCAATCAGCATACTGGAGCTTCAGGTACTATCTGTTTGAATCTGAATTTGTAAATGAAAAGTGAATAATCTACACTAGGTTATTTTAATAAGCTTAATAAGTCAATAAATGAGTTCTTTATTACATTTTTGTGTCATTCATTACAGCTACTTTTACTCTGGCCATAGGGCTTAATCCAACAATTGTCAAGGTCAATAAGAAGTCTTTGCTTTGATTTCACTGTATGTTGGATCAAGCCAATAATGTGCAATACATACTGTAAATAGTCAGAAAAGCTATGTAATACATAGAATAAACAGGTTTTAAGATAAAGGTCACATTCATAAGCCAGTTGGAGAACAAGTTGGAAACACATCTATTTACCAGCATAGAAATACATTCATAGATAAGTCTGGAAGAAAAAGAAGATGAAAAGAGCATGTACAAAACTATGGGAAAAAAAATTAAAAATCAGTGAATTCTGGAAATAACATCAAAAAAGTGAAAGTAAACATAGAGAATATAAACATATATAGGAACCTGACTCCTGGAAAACTGCAGAAAATACGAATGTTCTGTTAAGAAAAATAAATATATGCATGTGTCAATTTTCAGAAGACTATGCCAAGAGTTTTAGATGAGTTTTCTTTCTACTGGCTAATTTATGATTCAGAAATACAGGGGTTTCTTACCTGTTTACCCATTATATTTCTGTTTTCACATCAAATTGTCTAACTTTTACTTATCATGAGCTTAGTTAACTGTCAAAGTTTCACTGACATCACTGTATACGATAGGAGTCAAAAAGTTTTGCCTTCGGTCTTCTAGTCTTCAGTATTCTAGTCTATGAAGCATAGACCTCATTTAAACGAATTCTCAATTTAAAGGTGAGTTTAAATAATGTTGAAGAATTCACTCACAAAACAAGACTATTTCTGAGTGGAAAATGTGTGGACCTATTATGGTTTATTTTCAGCAGTTGGAATACTATATAGCTAGTCCCTGAGAAAGGCATGCTCAAGCTGAAATAATGTTACCTCTTTGAGAATAAACTCTTTAACAAATGACACTAGAAATTTTGTGTATATGTCTGTTTGATACAATCAGTTCAGTCTATAACATGGTTGTTGCTTGTTAATTAACGGAAAAGCAGAGCGTTGTGGTATGATTGGTGATATGCATGGAGCAATGAACCTCTGGTTTACAAATATTCAGATAAGGTCTGTGGCAGCAAGTACGTATGTACAGCACAGAGCAGCACCATGCAAAGGTGCTAGCTCAGGTTCTGGAGGTGGGAGAGTCCAGTGCCCGTGTTGAGTTTATACAGCAATAACATTCCCAACTCCACAGCCGGTCCACACCAATCTAGCCAGATCTCAGAGCAAGTTGGGCCATGGAACTTTGATATCCCTTTTGCCAGATGATGTTGTGACTTGAGTAAGTCTGCCAGTAATGATTTTTAGCACATGAGCTGCATTAACTCCACAATCAGAATCTGACAAGCATGGTAGTAGACACACACCTATCTAGCTGTCAGCAGAGTGGGCATCTCTTAGAAAGTAAGGTAAATCTGTTTTCTCTTTAGCGCTTTTAGCCATCACAAACATAGCAATAATTCTCAGATAAAGAAGTGGAGTAGTCCCCTGTGAACTCTAACACAAGGAGTTTTCAATCTGAATAGAATTAATCTGCATATGTCACCCTGCCCAGAACCAGAGGTATAAAAATCCTGTCATAGATTTCCTACTGAATATCTCAGTGAATAAAGATGTTGGCTGCAAAGCCTTTTCACCTTCATTCACAATGAAACTGAAGCCTATGGGTCACTTGATCTTTATTTTATGTCAGATTGCACAACTTGTTTCCCTGAATTTCACAAATATTTAAGCACAACCAGATTTCTCAGTCACTGTCTGATTCTTGCTTCCCTTCATCATGACAAACAGTCCTGTGAAACAAAGGACAATAGAATAAATTATAAAAGTTATGGGAGAAGAGAGATTTAAAGTTGTGTTTTCATTTTTCACCTCACGGTTAGTTATTTCTGTCCATCATCCATAGTTCTTGGGAGGATTACAAATTCTAAAAAAGGATTTGCTTATAAGGAAAGGGTTAACGGAATAATAAATATGCCAGATAACATAAATACACACTCCCTTTGGCAAGAGGGAAGCTTCCTGAGAGCAAACACAATGGTTTACACGCTAAACTGTGGTTAGAGGTTAGAGATTTCCAAGTCTCATAGCAGTGCTGCCGCCAATGGGATTAAAGCTCCCAGTCCTACAATCGATGTGACTGCCATGTTGCAGTCATCCTACAGCTGGGTTTGTGGGGGCCTGGAAGCAGAACACTGCTCTCAGAAACGAGATCTTGCTGGAACTTAGCTGCTGTTAAATCCTCATTTGAACCCTAAATGAGAGGGGTCACCTCAAGCACCCCTTTGAAGCTCTTGCAATGTTTTGACAGAGGAAGGGGTTGTGCATGTTTGCAGGTGTGCATAGGTACATCCCACAACCACATACAACCAGATGTAATTTTAATTTCCATTACTTTTCCTATCGTTTGTTTATTTGGTCTTTTTTTTTTTTTTTTTTTCTAGTATAGCAAATTTTTAACCTTATTTTCCATGTAGTATGTTACAGAAATGTAGACATAACCACAACTATTTGAATTATGCTCCGATTCATTCCACTTATGAAATATTTGCAATACAATAATTTGAAAACATATTAAATCTATTTTGGCCTCTTCTTCAGTCTAGTTTATATAGCAAAAAATACTATATTTCATTAAATTGAGTTGTGTGGGAGATAACAGGGAATCAACAACTATCTGGGGCTCAGTGACACTGTTTCTTTTTTTTTTTCCTATAGTCTTCAGCATCTGAATTCTCATAAATGCCAGAGAGACTATTCTTTATAATTTACAGGAAGTATCAGACATAGAGCAGAACTGGTTGTAAAAGTTTAATTAAGTGAAACATTTTAACAAGAAATTCAGAGAACAATATGCCCTGCTCTAACTAAGTGACTGTGGAAATAACATTGACAAGAAACGTGTGTGTTCTTAAATGAAAAACTTTTGCAGACGTAGGACAGCAAAAGTGTTCCAGAATTTTAGATTATGCAACTAACTAGAGCTGCTCTTTTACTAAGTGATTTAAAAATACACGTATAATTTGCTGCATATACAGAGATTCTACACATGTATCCACATCCACACACACCATGCAGTGCACCAGCCATCTCTGGCTCTAAATTATGCTATTGGTACTTTTACTGCAACTGTCATTATGGCCTGGTGGTACCTTACAAAGCTTATATTGAAACATTTAGTTGTTCAGTAAGTGACACCAAATTTCATACTTACTCTTCTGCTGGCAGATTTATTGCTCAGGTGGGAAACCAGAATTTATTAAAGGCCATACGGACATACAGAATTTCTTGTATTCCATCTCTACATAGCCAAATCCTGGCCCAAATGAAATCTATGGCAAAACATCTATTGGCTTCAGCAG